CAGTCAACGGCGCGGTCTCATATCAATTTATTTTTTATTTTTAAGTATGCAGATAAATATGTTATTTTTGTTATCATTGACGTGAGATCTGAGAATATTATAAAAAACATAAATTATTATTAATTACAATTTTAATATATTTCTTTAAGTTTTTATTGATCTTTAAATTTTTATTGAGATTATATAAGATCATTAATATATTATATGTCTCCATAATATTCTCAGTTCTTTAATATTTAATTTTATATATATCTACATCATTTAACCTGCAGAAATAGTTTAAAGTTTTTAAATAATTTATATTTCTCGTAATTAATATTTTAAGAAACATAAATTATTATTAATTATAATTTTAATACATTTAAATTTTCATTATGCAGATAATATCATTAATATATTATATCCTCATAATATTATCAGTTATATCATTTAATCATTTTCATATTATTTTTATATTATTTAAACTGGAGAAATAATATCTTAAAGCTTTTAATAATTAATATTTCGCAATTAATATCTTATTATATATAGCTATAATATGACATTGAAAGCTGATTGACATAATGAAATTTTTCTTGAAGTCTATATTTTCGTATGCATGATTAGTTCATCAGCGATTATTTAATCATATTTACGCTTCAGAATTAAATACTGATTTTAATCTATTTAACCCATCCATTTTGAAACAATAGATCCATGAGAGAAGTAGTATATTTATCTCTAATATCTTGTGCTCAATTCTATATTTATCCAATATAATTTTCGTAGATCCATTATCCATTTAAAAATAAAAGATAGTTTGACACTTGCCAATACAGTGCGCAACAGCGGAGTTGTAGATATTATAGCTATATTAATCTATGAAATATAAACATATGGAAATTGTAGTAGCACTTAAAATGATTAAAATTTAAAAAAATAATAATCGCATACATGAAAAATAATCTCATAATTTCCGAAAAAACATTTCTCTCAGATTTCAACTTTTACAAAGTCCATCAAGGAAGAATTCACTTTTTACACGAGTAAGCCAAATAAAACAGTAATAAATAAATAATGAGACACTTACTTCACGGGTTGTTCCGTCGGTGTTTAACGCTTCCTAAGCCTCGTCCTCCTCTCGCATTATCCAGGACAGTCAAATTTCCATGGCACTCGCGACAGTATGATTAATTAAATCGCACGAATCACTTATCAGATTACGACAAATCGCGACGTTTTGGACGGCACTCCCGATGTTTATCGCACGCAATTCTCGATACATTTTACACACGCGATATTCTATGTAAATACGCGCGCGTGAAAGTTCTCTTCGAGAAAGACGGAACCGCGTTCGCGGGTTGAAAATCGTAAGAGTCAACGGCGCGGTCTCATAATTTCAACAATCTCGAGGAATAATCGCGTTCGATGATTCGCGATACGTGTCGCGATCGCGTGTCGACCGGTAATACAACGATAATATAACAGAGCGTCTCGTGCCGTTGCGGGCGTCGCCGCAAAAAAGACGCGCCAGGCGATTCGCCATCGCGCCGTACGCGACGCGTTAACGACAACGCGAACCGATAATGCTAATCGTGACAGAACGATGCTAAATACAACATATCTACAAACGCTCATTGAACACACTTAAGTTTTTGCATCTGATTGGTATATATATTTTTAAATATAAAAGAATATCGATATGAGTATATTCGGAATGATTTGGGGGGAAGGAGAGGGTTCGAACCCTCTGAAATTAAAAAAAAAGCTAAAATTATAATTTATAAAACTTAATATTTTTCTCATTCAAAATCAGAGACGTGGAGATATTTTAAGTTCTAAAATATGTAAAAATTCATTAACGCAAAAGTTACTATTTACGTATTAACAGAATTGATAAATCCTCTCTGAAAAAAGCTCTCCCCCTCACTTGCTAAGCTTCTGTACCTGATTGGTATATTTTTTTAGATACAAAAGAATATATCAATCGACATGGGCAAATCTAAGGGGACAGTTTGAGGAGGTCAACCCTCTCAAATTTAAAAAAATGTTAAAATTACGATTTACAAATCTAATATTTTTCTCATTCAAAATCAGAAATCATAAGCTCTAAAATATCCAGAGAAGCAATTAACGCAAAAAGTTACTGTTTACTGTATTAACGGAATTAATAAATTCCCCTCGCCTCTCTCCCGAAAAAATCCCGAACATGTCCATGGCAAGGATGCGAGAGCTCGCAAAGCAGATGAGCGGTGGTGCTTCTGAATATATCCGTAGATAGAAAAAACGATCACGAAGAATATTTCGTAAGATAATGTAAGGGCACACGAGAGCGGCACGCGTCGTTATATGTCGGCGCGGATCTCCGATAGCGACTGATAACGCGACGATCTTCCGTAAACACCGAAGCGCCGATACCGCTTAAAAAACAAGCCGCGCGACGTCGGTCGCTTTGTTGTCGTGTCTCGCGATGTATCTTCGGAAAAAAATATATTTACTCTGAATATATTTCGCTTTTCATGAATGACGCGTTTTACATTAATTTCCACGAACAGGCGTTTACGTCAATTTCCGCGAATCTCATGTGATACGTAAACGCTCGCACGGGAAATAAAATTCACGCTATTTAATCGGACAGCTGTTGTTTGCACGGATTAATAGTCGTTGTTAATATTTTAATCTCGGATTGTCTGTTTTTTTTTTTTTACATTCCATTCGAGTCATGAAATTGATGATTTTAATAGACCTCGAAGAAGCGCGATAATAAAGAGTGCGATATTAAATATCGGATCTCTTCTCTTTTCTTAAAATCGTTCCAATACAATTTCATTCCGCGCGACTATCGGGGGTAGCATTGATCGCTTATAAATCAAAGGGTGTTAGGATATTCGACATTTCCATATTAGGATTTTCGACTATAATTACTCTTCAGAATACCCTATTAAAATATTGTATAGTGTGGGATATCCTGTATTCCCAGAACGTGTAACTTTTGTTGCGGGAGTGTGTTGGAAGCGCATTATTTATAATAGAGATTTCTCTAAATCCGTGTTGGAATTAGCACGTTGATACATCGACCAGCGAGTAATTTCGGCAAAGTATAGACTGTTCGGGATAAAAAAAAGAGTACGATGTATCATTAAAGGATTAATAGAAAAGACTTAAGTAAGCGTTGTAGTACTACGAAAAGCGAATTTAAAGGGAGACGCGCCTGGAAACAGGCATATTCGGAATTTTTATCTCAATCCCGCCATATAACGCAACGATAAAACAATTTAATGCAACTCGCAATATTAACATTCCTTTGTCTAGAACGCGTAGGAAAAGAGATTTTCCCTTTAACGTACGAACAATTGGATGTACAATTTTTTCGCGTTTTTTCATCCGAGCGATGAGCTCGGGCATCGTTAAACTTGTCGCGCAAAGTTACGAATTGGCCGACGGAATTCAGCTTCGTGGATGAGTGACGGTGGCAGAGAACGCATTTTTGTGCGCGGTTAACACTACGATTCCGCGATCAGCGGTCACTAATTCGCACGAGGGCGGCAAGCTGGAAAGCAAAATAAAGAAACGGAGCGAGGAAACGACGGAACGAGGAAACGACGGAGGAGCCGACGCGTCCGACATCGCTTTTCTCGTTACAAACTCATTAGCCTAAGCGCATGTGCATATACGCGTACGCTAAGAGAGAAATGCGGTTAAATTAGCTATAAACTATAGTATACTCTGACAGCAACGATTATTTACAGCCGTCCTAACATGGGCATGGCTGCATTTTCCTTTTTTTCCCCCATTGAGATCTCCTGGGAACGTGGGATCACCATCTTTTGATCAATTTTACGAGTCGTCGCGTATCGTATAACATTGCCAATTTTCCTACTTAACAATCGGTAATTGGTAGATTTCGTTTTGAGTTCGTAAATTATTATTAAAAAATTCTACTGCTATTAAAAATTATCGTCATCATTAACGATAATAATAACGAAAAATTTTATGTTTAATATCGAGAGAAGTAATATAATTTTTAATTTCAATATATATATTTTTTGAATATGTTTCGATAAGAATTTTATGTGACGTTAATAATAGAGTGATGAATTGAAAGTTATGAATGAAAGTAAAACTTTTATAATAAATGCGGAGGAAAATAAAATGGAGAGATTCGTGTTACTGAGTAAAATCGATATTGTAGTAGTTTCCACTTAAGAGAATATTCCTCGCAGTTAATGAGGTGACACGACACATCGTGATGCGTTGACACCCCGGCGACGTAACCATGGTTTCCGGTCTGGACAGTCATCGGCCACCCTGACACCTACGTGTAACGCCTCAACGCCCATACCTTCTTACGCCGTATTGAGCTTAAGAGCCTCTTCGTGCCTCTCAGCCGTTTTGAAGGCTAAGCTACCCGATAGCGTCGTATACGCGTTCTCGTGTATTGCTCGCTAAATTCTAATATCGTAGAAATTTTTTTTTTTTTTCGCGTTTTCTCTCCCTTTCCACGGGAAAAGAATAAGAAAACATTACTGCCTCTCTTTCAAAAATATAGACTTTATATACAGACCGGTGAGCACGACAACACCAAAACGGTCTTCGGTATTCTCGTCCCGCGATATCGTTCCTCGTCGAATTCACGGCGTGTTCGCGACGCGTATTGAAATCGAATAGCGAAATGTTGCCTGACGTTCCGCGAATATATATATATATATATATATTATACTTTCCTGAGCGTAATGAAATATCGATAAACACGAATGATCGCGAGAAAGTGAGAAACGTACCGTGTCGCTCGACAGTCACGGTAGAGACGGGTAGAGACGGGTTGGGAGCGTCGGAAAGGGACGGGAACGGATCTCCGAAGCAGGATCGTCTTTGGTGGATGAGATTTGCAACGGCGTTGGTTTCGGGCCAACGTGATGCGTTGCATTATTCACTTCTCCGGCAGGGTAACGCGCGACCACCGTCGTCCGTTTCGTCTCCCCGAAGCCCGTCTCTGAGCCCTCCGCGGCTTTTGGACTAACTCCGACAGAGGCTTTGGCATCGATACCGCGAAGCTACCTTCGACATTCGACCCCTTCGGTGGTTTGCGCTCGATGCAATTAATTCCTTCTGGCGACAGTAGACGACAGGAGCCGCGTAACACCACGGTGACTGGAACCATTTCCGCTGTCAATTTCTATTAAACGATTTCTATAAAACGAATAAATAGTACAGGAACATTTTAGCGGAACATTTTATAAATGCACAGGGTGCCCCAGGTTTTAAGGTGCCAAACTTTGTCGGTACATTTTATTTATGAGTCTACATGAGAAAAAAATGTTATATGAACGTAGATCGTTTAACAATTTATTAAAAGTTATAAAATAAAAATACGAAATTCCAAGGAAATTAAGTTAAGAATAGCGATACGTAGTTTTATGCGAGTTGTGTTCTATCAGCATATTTAAATTAATATCAATTTTTGCTGAATATGAATTATTAATTATTAATTATTAATTATTAAAAATAATTATTTAATATTAATTATCATTATTGATTTAATTTTTATCTAAATTTGTAAATATTCCATTTTAAAATGGCTATCATCGTTAGCAATACAAGATTGGCAACGGTCGAAAATGGAATTTATATAAACTAAATGTAAATTTTGCTGATCTATTTCACTATTGTGACGCAGTAATCGCGCCTGTTACTCGAATTTCATATTTTTGTTTATAACTTTTTAATAAAGCGTTAAATAATTTATATTCATATTTTCATTTTTTTTTATTCAGACCCCATAGAATGTACCGACAAAATTTAACATCTTAAACCTGGGACACCCTATATACTGCAGAATATTATATCTCTTGAAATTCTCATTTTCCAAAGATTATAAACAATCTTTTGATATTTCTAGATCCGTGATAATTTAACTGCGGAGATAAATGAGCTGATGCAGTTCACGGAGACGATAAGACTGAGCGCTAAGACGAGAAACGTTAATAGCGAAAAAAAAAAATATATAAAAACGAAGGGAAAAATCATCCGCAGAATTTCGTAGGGATTTCATCTCAGCATGTTCGCGTGGCAATTCGAGGCTTTCAAACGTATCAAGCGACGTTACTTATCGATTCAATATTGATACGCTGTCACCAACGAAATACTCCGCTACGCTATTCGAGATATTACGAAATCCAGAGTCTTTATCTCTCTTTCTCTCTCTTTATCTCTGCCTTTCACATGTACGCGGTATACGCAAGTATTTCAACTATGTCGACTACAAAGTTCCTTTCGGTATCGA